TATGGAGCAGCTTCGTCTAAGAGTGATTTCTAGAAATAGGTGGGATTGTTCTGAAAGCCATTTGAGGGCTGGGGTTCCAGGAGAAGGCATAAATTTTGGTTTTCCCTTAGCAGTAGAGTCAGAAGAATCCCACTAGCTGGACTACTCTCAGAGGGTGGGGTTTAGTGGTTTCATTTGCGGGAACTTGGGATAGTTTAGTACCTTGTAGACCGTGAATTAAGTTCCTGGAAACACCCCACAGGCACTGCTGTTTGAGTTTCCTGGCATCCAATAAAGTATGCAATTATGGGGCCTGAATGATAGTACAGTGGGTAGGGTGCTTGCCTTGCACATGGCCAACCCAGGTTTGATCCACGGAACCCCATAGAGTCCCCTGAGCCTACCAGGCATGATCCCGAGTGCAGAACCAGGAGTAAACTGAGTTTCACCAGGCATGGCATAAAACAGAAATGAAAGTATGTGATTGCCCATGTATCATATAATTATGCGTGGGAGTACTGCAACCAAAGAAAGAAAAGCATCTCAGCAGCCCAACCAAGTGTATGGGGCTGCTCCTCCCTCCACTAACAAAGGGAGGGGGGTAAAAAGCTTTCCATATGACTCTTATGACCCATTTTTCCTTTTCTCTGCTCTCCAGGGAATGGTTCCCTTCATATTTGTTGGCACCCGAGAGAATATCAGTAATGCTCAGGCTCTGCTGGAATATCATCTCTCCTACCTACAGGTATACAAGCCAGAAGCCTAGGCAGGGAACGAACAGCTGGGTGTGGCGAGGGGACTAAGATTGCTGGAGGAAAAGTTGGGCATTGTCTTGCCCACTTGGTCTCAGTAGGAACAGGAATTGTTGGAAATTTGGCACTGTGAACTTGATTCAGAATTTTCCTTGTTTTTGATACTCTGAGAGTATTAAATATATATAAGGATGATCAGGGTGGAGAAGCTGAAAAGGAACAATGCCCTTTGATCTTTCTGTTTCGTCTTTTACCTACTCAGGAAGTAGAGCAGCTTCGCTTGGAGAGGCTACAAATTGATGAACAGCTTCGGCAGATTGGACTTGGCTTTCGACCCCCAGGAAGTGGGCGGGGCAGCAGTGGCAGTGACCGAGCTGGATATACCACTGATGAAAGCTCCTCCTCTCTCCACACCACGCGAACATACGGTGGCAGCTATGGGGGTCGTGGCCGAGGCCGCAGGACAGGTGGTCCTTCCTATGGTGAGACAGCCATGGAAAAAGGAGGCAGCCACTGGTGGAGGCCCAATGGAATGGAGGTCTTTGAGTTTGGGGGCTGTGATAGATGCCCAGGAGAGGGTAGTGGCATGATTTGGCACTACTATGTTCTTTAGGTCCCAGCTCAGACCCATCTACAGCTTCTGAGACTGAGTCGGAGAAGAGGGAGGAGCCCAACCGAGCCGGGCCGGGTGACCGGGATCCCCCAACCAGGGGAGAAGAAAGCAGGAGGCGGCCAATTGCCGGCCGGGGCAGGGGCCCACCACCAGCCTCCCGGCCCTCCTCGAGATACAACTCTTCATCTATCAGCTCAGGTGCCAGTATTGGGGAGCCGGGTTTATGACCATTTGCCAAAGGGAAGATATTCATCTGACTCCCTAATCCTCTTCCTTTACCCAGTGCTGAAGGATCCAGATAGTAACCCCTACAGCCTACTGGACACCTCTGAACCAGAGCCCCCCGTTGACTCAGAGCCAGGGGAACCCCCACCAGCAAGTGCAAGGCGACGCCGCTCCCGTCGCCGCCGCACTGATGAAGATAGAACTGTCATGGACGGAGGCTTGGAATTGGAAGGGCCCAGCATGACAGAGAATGGCCTGGGTAAGAGGTTGGTCTGGGTTTTCAAAAATTAGAGTTGGACAGGAATGGAGAATGAGAGAGCAGATGGGTGACTTCTCTTTTCCTGCTCCCTAGAAGATGAGTCAAAACCCCAGCGCCGTAACCGTAGTCGCCGTCGCCGTAATCGTGGTAATCGGACTGATGGTTCTGTCAGCGGAGATCGGCAGCCAGGTCAGCTAACACTGGGGGCCAGAATACTTCCTCAGCCGAAAGAATGGGATGGCTCCTACCCTGTGAAAACCAGGGCTTGTCTAGTTGTCTGAGCTGGCTTTGAAACTTTTGCTCTTTACCTCCCCCAGTGACAGTGGCTGACTATATCTCCCGGGCAGAGTCTCAGAGCCGCCAGCGGCCTCCCCTGGAACGCACTAAACCCTCAGAGGATTCTCCTTCAGGACAGAAGGTAAGCAGGCAAGAAAAGAGCTTCCAACTCCTGCCTTTGTTCTTCTGGGCAGATGCAAAATTCCCAGAGAAATGGCTTACGGAGGGGCCTCAGTGATAAAACAGCTGGTAGTGGTTTGCCTTGCACATGACTGACCCAGGTTCAATCCCTGATATCCTGTATGATCCCCCAGTCCCCACCAGGTATTATCCCTGAGCACAGAGCCAGGAGTAAGCCCTGAGCACTGCCAGGTGTGCCACCGCCCACCCCTTCCATTCCCCCACTCAAAAAAAAAAGTTTTATTGTAGAGAAGTCTATCATAGAGTCTGGACTGTTCTTAAGACTAGCGGAATGTTTGCATTAAAAAGAGGAAAATTTGGTTGGTGTTTTCTGGATCCTAGTAATGCTGCCAGGAGAGGGGAAGGACCTGTGGTTAGGGAATGTTGGTTACGACAGAAATTACTAATGACTTTCTTCGTCTTTCTGTTCTTTTTCTCCCCCAGGGTGACTCTGTCAGCAAGCTTCCTAAGGGCCCCTCAGAGAATGGGGAGCTCTCTGCCCCCCTGGAGTTGGGTAGTTTGGTGAATGGGGTTTCATAAAACCTCCATCCCACATCCCTCCCTCTCCATATCGCTTGCTGCCCAACACCATGGCCCTCACAGGCCCAACTGACCTGCGCTGGAGCTGCTCTTATCTAGGGGGGAGGGGGGTGGCACAGCAGCTTGGGTACCCCCCAACCTCCTGGAGATAGTGGAGGGGTGTGTAACAGGGTCATACCGACCTCCCTCTTGTCCAACCTACCCCCAGGGTGAGGGAGCCTCTCTCCTTCCCCATCAGACTGGATGTGCCTTTATCCTCTAATGCCCCAATCTCTCTGAACACCCCCATTCTCCACTTGGTGGGGGGATGCTCCTTGACCCACCCAGATTTGACAGTTCAGGGGGGCTCCCCTGCTATCCCTCCTCCCATCCTGTACCCCCCATTTCTGGGGCCTCATCACTGTGGAAGACGGGGATAGTAAGGGTATATAAGTGGGTGGGAGGCATGGGGAAGGTTTTGGAGTAGAACCAGGGGTATGTATGAAGAGGGGGTGAAAGGTCCCCCAGGGCTGGGGAGACCCATCACCTTGTCTGGTGGATGAGAAGGCGTATTTATTTTTCACTGTACAGTATTTAAAAAAGAGAATAAAAAAATCCAAATGGCTTTCTGTTCCTGTGATTTCTTGGTCCATCTGTTTCTCTAGGACTGGCTCACCCTGGCGTCTGGCTCTTTCCTTTGTTTGGGGGTCACACCAGCGATGCTTGGGGTCACTCCCAGCTCTGCACTGGCTCTGCACTCGGGAATTACTGCTGGCAGTGCTTCGGGGACTTTATGAGGGTTCAGGGATTGAATCTGGGTTGGCCAGGTGCAAGGCAGATGCCTTACGAGTCCCCTGCTGTTTTCATCTTTGACCATATTTAGTTTCTTTAGTGTTCCAAAAGCAGCCTCCTGATACTCCATTTCCCCAGGCCTAGAGCTCCTGAAGACCATGGCTTTTACCCTCCCCCAGAATTGCTTGAATAGGCTGGGGCACTCCTACATTCTGAGTCACTTAGAGGGCTAGATGGGACTGGGCTAGGTAGGGCTGCTCCAGGCTGCTGAGTACGGAGCCAAAACTGGCTGCTTAATCCGGATTACTTGAGGCCTGAAGCTTGGGCTGGGCTCTGGATAGAGCTGGGGAGCAGAGTTTCCCTGCACTGCTTCTGGGACGCAGGTCTGAGGTCTAGTTCTCATTACTCATTCCTGGTTCTCTGGATCCAGGCTCGTCGTTCAAGGAATTGTCTTAAATTCTAGGTTTAGAGCCACATGCAAGGCAAATGCCCTACCCGCTGTCCCGCTGTACTAGCGCTCTAGCCCCAAATTTTCTCACCTGGAGAGAGATTGAATCACCACTCTAGCACCTGCTAGAATGACTCAGGAAAAAAAAAAAGACCTACCTCTGTCAGCTTGACTTCGTTGCCCAAGGGACTAATCAGGGGGTGGAGGAGGGTTAGGCACAAGAAAAGGATTTTGAGTGGGGGGCGGGGAATTCCCAAATTCCTGTTAGCACAACTATGACCCTGAGGGCTTTTGATGCCCCTGTACTCAGACCCTTGATGCAAGAGTTGACTTTTAAATTGCCAGTGCTTAAGAGACCGGATTTAGTCAGGGTGGGAAACCTGAAATCTGGGTCTTGACAGGGGGAGGGGAGAGGAAGGGGTGCGGTGCCCTGAAGGGTCTTGGGGGCTGGCAAGAATGGGACACCTGGGTTTGCCTAAGGAGGGGGATGTTGGCGCCCTTAAGGAGGCGCAGTCTCCTGGGAGATAGTGGGGAGGAGTTAGTCATTAAAAGCAGTTCTGGGTTTGGTTCACCCGCCAGCCACAGGCGCTGAGGCCAGGTGAGCGGGCTTTGGCTGCTGAGCATTGGGACTCCAGAGACCAGTTTACTACCACCACCGAATCGGGCAGGGCGAGCAGGCTGTGTGGAGTTCTTGCAGAAACAAGGAGAGCCCAACTATTCTGTGCAGGTACCAGACAGGATTCTGCACTGCAGTCTTCAAAGTGCTCGACTGGCCGGATCAGGGGCTTCAATATTACGGACTCTGAACTGGCGACAGTAGACCTTTTTAAGGACAAAGGTTTTTTTCTCAAACAGCTCCAGAGGACGAAGACAAGTTCCATTTAGACACCAGGTTTGGGGTTCAATATTTTACTTGGAGGGGAGGGCGTGTAGGTTGCCCTCTTCGAACTTCCCTCCATGGCGCTATCCAGATCTTTGCCGGACCAAACCTGGAGCCTGGTACCTCGCGATCCTATGACGCCTACCTCCTCCTCCTCCTCCAACTCCCAGGATGGGGAGAACTCTGGGAGCCCAGTAGTCTCAGGCGGGCTCCCCTTGGAAAAAGTTAAGCGGCCCATGAATGCGTTCATGGTGTGGAGCTCTGCTCAACGCCGCCAGATGGCGCAGCAGAACCCAAAGATGCACAACTCCGAGATCTCCAAGCGCCTGGGTGCGCAGTGGAAGCTGCTGGGGGAGGAAGAGAAGCGGCCCTTCGTGGAAGAAGCAAAGCGACTCCGGGCTCTGCACCTCCGTGACTACCCTGACTACAAGTACCGGCCTCGGCGCAAGACCAAGAGCTCAAACACTGGGCCGACCCACCTTGGCCAGGGAAGTGCTGGGGTGGCTGGTGGCAGGCGAATCTGGGGGTCTGGGTACCCGACAACCCAGGGAAGCAGAGGCTTTGGGTACCAGCCCCCCAACTATACAACAACCTACCTGCCTAGCAGTTATGGGTGAGTGCCTGGGGAGCTGGAGAATTAATACCCTGTCTGGGGGAGGGGGCAAAACTAAACTGGGTGAAACCTTTTTTGGGACAAGGGGCGCTTTTAAGCCGTGCTCAGGAGGATCAGGGAGGCCCCACCGGGGTGGCTAACTGGACTTTTAGTTCAAAAAGGTCTGAAGGGCCAAAGATAGTACAGCGGGTAGGGCTCTTGCCTTGTACGCTGCTGACCCAGGTTCAGTCTTCAGCACCCCATATGGTCCCCTGAGTACTGCCTGAAGTGATCCCTGAGCACAGCCAGAAGTAAGCCCCGAACATGAACAGGTTTGGTCCCAAAAACACCCGCTTCCCCCTTGAAAGGGCAAGGACACAAGGATGTTCCGCTGTTTGGGCCCTATAGTGCTAAGTACTCCCAGGCCACATCCTGCAATTTTTGGGAAACCATATAGTACTGGGAATTTAATCTGGGTCAGGGACTGCTAGGTAGTTTCTTGGCACCTACTCTAATTGGAGGGGCTTGACGTACCCCTAATTAGATGCCATCCTGTATGGGGTCTTCAACTGAGGTTTGGGAGTACCACTCCCTGCATTCTGTGATGACCAAGCATTTTCTGAGTTGCTTCTCAGTCTCCCCACAGCCCCCAAGATGTGACAAGTTTGGTTACTGGATTTCCTGTTCCCCCCCTGGCCCCCCGGGTGACCCAGCTTCCTCTCCTAGCCCCCAGGGCAAGGAGAGGCTAAATTCAACTCTGTCCCTTCCTGGCCTGCTGCCCTGGAGGAAGAAAACAGGCAGGTAGCACGCAAGCTCTTGAGCATGCCCAAACATGGCTATGCTGTTCTTAAGTCGTCCTGGGTCTGGGAGCTGGGATGGTGAGGTGGGTGACGCTCTGCCTCCTCTGCCCAGAACTTCAGACCAGCCCCCTTATACGAGCTGGGACCCCTGCTACACCAACAGTCCAGGAAGTGCCCTCTAATTCTGCGTCTTTCTTTGCAGTTCTCGCTGTAAACCGGAGGCTCCTTCGCAGTGCTCCTTCCCTCCGAGTAACCCCCGGCTCCAGGGGGAGCTGCTTCCCCCTTATAGTACCTACCTGACCCCAACCTCTCCCACTCCTTACAATTCTCCACTCTCGGGGGCTCCCCTGCCCCTAACCCACCTTTAACCTTCATGGACATGGACCGCTGAGGCAAGTAAGGCTCTCGCCTTTTTCACCCAGAAACACACTTCCTCTCCCAGCGTTCAAGCCTTTCTTTGGACCTGTGTTGCACCCAAGTTCAGAGGAAGCCCGTGGGTCGGCCCAGGGAAACACTTTTGTAGACCGAACAGAGTTCTGTGCCATTAAACCATGTACTAAGCTTCGTCTTTATTGCCCTCCTGCCACCTTCACTCCCCAGCAGGAATCAGCTCCCTCCCTCTGCCTGGGCCTGCCAGAGCAGGAGCCTCCTCGCCCCACCCTGGGGCTCTGTGTGAGTCAGTCTCCTTTCCTTCCCCACCCCACCCCCGTCCCCACCTAAGGGTCCAGGAGAAGGTCCCAGCCAGAGAGGGCACAGGAATTTACAGAAAGGCCCGTAGTCTTTGGGGGTCAGAGGGAAGGTGGGAGATTAGCACTTGCCCAGAACGGCTGGAACTACAACTAAGGAGGTCTTAGCCAAATGATTAAATGAGTTAAGAGCATACGACAGAGCAAAATGTCAGCTTGGAAATCTCCCATCTTTTCTATGATTCGGGCTCACCAATAGTGTTTCCACCAAAAATCCTGGTTCAAGAAATTGTGATTACAGAAGTATAGGAAATGATTAGAAGTCACACGGCAGACTGGTCTGAATGTGGATGAACTCCCACAGCCAATTCTGCAGCTGCTCAGCCCTACTGTTGCTTTTTCTTCTTCTGAGGAATGTTTACATTCCAGTAGTAAAGGAGCTGGGTAGCAATGAGTCCATTGCAAAGGGAAGAGACCACAAAAGTTCCAGCCATAAGGGGGTCTCCAGTTTCCTGAATGCAAGAGAGACAGAAACATAGGGTCACTGGCACCGCCAGAAGGGTTCCAAAGGCAACAACTTCGTTTTCAGCTGAGAAGTCAGTTAAGGTTCTAGTGCCCTCTACAGGAAAGAGGATGTGCTCACCTGAATGGAGGTAAAAATTCGGGCTAGGGAGCCCCCGAAGAGCAGAAACACAGTAATGGCCGAGAGCTGGCCTGTGTGTCCGTTGTGGTAGTTGGTGACTGCCTGGAGCAGCTAGGAAAGGAACCAAACCCCTTCACCTGTCATCTGAAATCGTCCCATTTCCCTTAATCCAATATTCACTACTTTGGAGTTCCAATTCTTCCCAAATCCCGTCCCTGCCTCCCAATATCCTTTCCCATTGCCCAGTACCCACCCTCCCCACCACCACGGCTGGAACGTTGGAGGCCTGGAGCAGGGTGACTACAGTCATGGGTGTCAGTGGTGAAAGCAGCACCAGCAGGACCAGGGCATAGCAGGCTAGGAAAGCAGCACCTGAGGGCCAGGGAGACAAGAAATCCATCAGCCTCTGGAGTGCTCAGTCTCCAGGCCTGAGTTCCCAGCACGGCTCCCAAGAACAACAGGCAGCTCCCGGGAAATCCCCAGCACCTTTCACAGTCTGTCCTCTGTAGTGCAGGACCAGGAAGCCGATGGTGACTGTCTGGAGCATCAGGAACAAGGCTTCACCCCAAGAGCTGCAAAGTAAAAGTTGGGAAAAGAAAAGCGCAGGTCTGGGGAGGCAAAGAAAGCCCCAAAGCCCACCCACTGGCTGCCGAATTGCGTTGAGTACCTTTTCTTTTATCCCCCCACCTGCCTCCTGGTTTTCCTTTATTTTGCTACTAGCAGTTCCTACTGCAAAAGTGTACCTTCACTCTGTATACTTTTAACTCCCTCACTCTGATCCCCAAGAGTTGTATGTACACCTGGGAACCTGAAGGGCTGACCCCTCACCTGAAGGGGAAGTTGTTAGTAACGCTGTAGGCCATGGTCCCGGTCAACGCTACTAGTTCCAGCATTATAGATTGAAGACTCAGCCCTTCACCACTCTTGGCACCCAGCACTTTAAACACCTGAGGGAGTTTTACTGGAAAAAGGATGAAAAGGGAAGGATTGAGGAATTGTGCTTGGAAGCTACAATGTAGACGGGGTAGCATGTTAACTCTGGTGGTTAAGGGACCCCTCCAATTTGTAGCATCTTAGCACTCCACCCCCAAAGAGCAGGAAAGGGACCACAGAGATTGCACAGGGGCTGGGGCACTTGCTGTGTATGAGGATAAACCAGCTGTATCCCCGGTATTACTTTCGGTTCCCTGAGGACTCCTGGGGTGTGGTCCCCAAACCCCTAGACAAAAACAGCAAGGAAGAAATCATACATACCCAGAAGTGACCCAGCCACAATGCCAAGCCCAAGGCCTTTGCTGAGGAGAATCTTGAGGCAGGGGACTGAGAAGGGAAAGGAAAATAAGTAGGGGCCTCTGGAAACCAGATCAGGATGTTCAGGAGGCAGCCCTGGGTTGGGGATCACGTGACCCTTGGAAGACTGCTACGCCTCCACATAACAGCCTTGGTTTGCCTTGAAACAGACAGAAAAGCTTGAGGGCAACTTCAAATTCTCCCCAGCAGCCCCCTCCCTCAATCTCCTGGGTCTGATTTCCAAGGTTCTCCACAGGCTTTGCCAGGTCTCCAAAATGTCCACTGTGGGGGGCGGGGACAGAAGGGTGGGGGGGCATCTTGGCTGAACAAGACAAATCCCATTCCAGGACCTACTCAGATCTGTGTCCATTCACTGAGTCAGTAACTCCCCTCTGACACACTTGGGCAACTCACCTCACGTGTCCTCCCTCTCCAAGGGCGGGCCTAGTCCTTATCACTCCTTCCTGAGCCCTGTGGTGCTGGCCCCTGGTCAGGGGCTTCATTAATGGTCACCAACATCGTTTGGAGTTTTGAAGCTACCACCCCTCCCCCCACGCCCCACCAAGAGCTCGGCTGAAAGGGAGTCATTTCCCCAAAGGGCCTGAATGCAGCCAAGACGTCCCAGGAGCGCAGTGAGATGCCGTGGGCCGGAAGAAAAGGAGTAGGAAGGTTTGCCCGGAGCCTACTGTTGCCGCAACGGGTCGGCAGGCAAAGGCAGGCAGGCAGGCACCCAGGAACCCCGCCAGGAGCAACGTGGAGGCCGGAGGGAAAGCCACAGGGCGGGCAGAGCCCACTGGGGTGCCGCTGAAAATCCGGTTCGTTACCAACTTCAAACCAAACTCAGAACCAAATTTGCTCCTGAACGCTACCATAAAGTCGAGGCGGGACGACTCTGAACAGATTTTTAGCTTTGTAAACCTCGGGTTGGGCCGCACGAACTTCACCAACGCCCCCTCCCCCGGGAACTCCCCTCCTCGCTCAAATATGGCGTTCTCCCTCCCTCGAGCCCGAGGTGCTTCCGCCCCTCTCGGAAGTGACTTCCGCTCCGCGCGGCGTGGCGGCCGTCACCGGGGTACGAGGTAGCCTGAGGCCGCTCGTGCAGCACCTACAGCGCGGGGGGGTGAACAATCTCACCGTGAAGCAAGTCCCACTGGACGAAAATTTGGTCGTAACATCTTTCGGGTAACAGAGTCGGCACCAGCAACCGTTTGAAAGGCCCGTCTGCCTCAGCCGCCATGTTGTAAAACCGACTTCCGCCAGTCTCTGCAGCGCGCCATTGAGGGGCGGCGCGCATGCGCGCTCCGGAGCTGGCCTCTGACCTTTTCCCGCGATCAGGCCGCCCCGCCCCCGTCCCCCCTCTCGCCCCGCCCGGTCCGGCCCAGCGGTCTGTCCCGGGACCACCATTCCGGACGCGCAGGCGGCTGCTCGAATTCGGGCTTGTGCCGGGTCCTAACGCCTGCGCAATTCTATCTTTCGAGCCTTTGTTTACGCTTCCAGGTCGGAAGGAAGATTTTATCTTCCTGCCTTGGCCCGCTCCTGCCGCTCGACGCCATCTTGCTTTCTCCCCGACAACTATTCATTGTTTGTAGTTGAGGGAGAAGGAGTGTGAGTCGCCAGAACGGACAGGTGGGGCCAGCGGTGTAGCTTTCCAGTAAAGCTTCTGCGTCATGTGCAAGGCCGGGGGCTTAGTCCCCGGCGCTGCAGGAAAGAAAGAACAGTTGGAAGAACGAGGCACAGAAGGAAGAACGGGCCAGCAGGGTGGCTCAGCGTTAGAGCACTTTCGTGTGTGAGACCCTGGGTTTGTTTTGTTCTTGAGCCACACAGTGGGGCTTAGAATCACTTCTAGCAGTGCCCAGGGTGCCATATATGTGGATTGCTCGGGAATCATACCAGGGTCAGCTGCATGCAAGGCCAGCACTCTAGGCACTGTATTATCTCTCTGGATGGGAAGCCCAGGGTTTGATCCCCTACTATGTAGTGGGGTCCCTGGGGAGAATCCATCCAAAATAGACACTTGGATGGGGGTGTTGTAACGAGGGAACGGGACCAGCGGGAATTGGACAGTGCACCAAGCATTTGTCCATGAACTGTGACTACTGCTTCTGCTTCTGTTGTGCCCAGACCTTGGAGGACTTGTCAGCATTGAGGATCTGGGGCAGGGAAGAGGATGTCCGAAGGAGAGCGCAGTTTGAGGAGTTTTCACAGACCAGGCCTGGTCAGTCTTGCAAAGTAGGGTGGCATCCTTATAGGGGACATCAGCAGGTGCCCTCCCCTCCAGAGGCCAATGTCCTCTCCTCTATTATAGTCTCAGAAGATCTCAGCAAGGCCAGTGGGCCCTGCAGCTCTTCTTCAGAAAGGCACATTTTCTTCCCAGCCTTCACATCTGAGTAGAGGGTATCTGGCACCTGCTGCCTGTACTCCACCATTAAGCCTTCTTCGCTGACTCCTGCACCAATGCGAGGTCATGTGAAATGTTCGCTAGATGGTGGAGCTGAGGGCTGCTGCCAAGGCAAGTGGGTCTTTCCAGGGAGCTGTATTCTGTAGTCTGTTGGGCTTCTCTAACTAGAAGGGCGCTATTCTGACTCCCAAAGGTTGGGTAAAGCGAAGGTCAGGAATGTATATATCGAAACTGGGGACATCAGATTTGGCCAAGCCATGGCCTAGGCTAGAAAATGATGTGCTCAGGAGCACAGATGGTGATCATTCTGGAAGTGAGGGATCTTTTCTTCCATGTTCACTGAAATATTTTGCAAATTTGCAAATGATAGCAGTATTCCAGGATCAGTCAGCCCCTGACGGTGGGCAGGGTAGGACATTTTTGTTGCTAAGGAGCACTGGAAAAGCCTTTGGAAATGAAATGACATCACACACCTTGCTGCTGTGTGTGTTTCCCCTCTATTTACAGGTGAGGTCTGCGGGAGGGAAGGAACCACTGGGTAGGGACGGCGGACTTAGACGACCAGAGGTCCTACAAAAGGAAGAAAGAGAGCAGAGACCTCAGGGACGAACCAAAGAGGACTCTTGTTTACACTCAGTTGATATTTTCCATCCCTTCTTACCAGCAGTTTCTGGCTCCCTTAAAATCATAGAGGGGCTAGAATGATAGTGCAGCAGGTGGGGGCGCTTGTCTTACACGCAGCCGATCTGGGTTCAGTCCCTGGCAACCCATCTGTTCCCACAAGCATGATCCCTGAACGCAAAGCCAAGAAAAGTCCTGAGCATCACCAGGTGTTGCACCAAAAAAAATTTTTTTTAAATGAATCAACCATAGAATGCACCAAAAGACATGAAACAAACTTTATTCCCAGCAGGAAGGACATGAAAAATCTGGGACAAAGATTTTAATAGGTTTTACTACTCTTCAATGGGGAGCGGCAGTCTGTCGTAATGAATACAAAGTCTTTCTCTTCATCCCTCTCTCTCTTTGCTCTTCAGGACAGAGAGAGAAGGAAGATAACTGATAGGTGAGTAGTGAGGGATCCCTCTTGCCCTAGATGTTGGGGCAAATGCTTAGAGGGGCTGGTAGGTGGAGGGGCGTCTCTGGACGATGCAGAAGGTAACAAGCACCAGGGTGAGGAGGCCAAGGAGGATCAGGCCAATGATGAGAGGCAGCAGGATGGAGTGACCACTTGGACAAGAGAAACCTGGAAAATAGGGCAAATTTGGTAGCTGGGATAAATAAAAGTAGGGTGAGGAGGGGGTGTAGGAAAGTAGATTAGTAAGGAGCTCACCAAGATTACTCAGAATGATTCAAAGGGGAGGAGGGGCAGAGTTCATTCAAGGAGCGGTGGACAGTTGCCCAACTTGAGAAGGAAGAAATCGTCGGTGGAGGAATGGGTAGGCAGCCTCCAGTGCAGAAAGAGAGTCTTATGAGGGAGGGAAAAGGTCTTACTTGGCCCGAAGTCTCCTGTGAGGGGCAGCTGAGCAGCCTGCATCTTCAGGTCAAGCAAGTCAAGGTGGAAAGTTCTTGAAAGAATGATGCTCGCATTTCCACAACTGAAACTGTGGCCCAGAGGGGTCTGGAGTTCTTGAAGAGATGAATTTTGGGCCAAGAATGTCCACTCTAAAAGAAGAAGGGAGGGGCCGGGGACATAGTACAGCAGGTAAGGCACTTAGCTGGCACATGGCGGACCTGGGTTCAATCCCCGACACCCCACATGGTCCCTCCAGCACCTCCAGGAGTTTTTCTGAGAGCAGAGTCAAGAGTAATCCCCGAGCACAGCCGGGTGTGGCCCACGCCCCTCCTCCCCCATCAATAAATAGAATAAGGAAGCATGAAGTCCATGGCCTTACCCTGTAGCTTAGTTTGCTCCCTTCAGAGGCGAGACTTGAGAAAGTGAAGGGTAAAGAAAAGTTACTTACGTGCTGCATGTGGGAAGGACACGTTGTACTCCACGGCCATATAGTTCACGTAGACTGTGTTCTGCAGTAGTTCCTGAGAAGGGCAGAAGGAGAGAGTGACATTCATGTCCACCATCAGGAACAGAACATGGGATAGGCAGATAGGGAATGAAAGAAATGGGTGAAGTTACCTGCTGGAATTGAAAGCTGAGCTTCCCATAGGGGAATGAGAGAAGTAACTGGGGGTGGGCACCCTCACAGCTTCCCAGAGCCTTGGTTTTGTTGGGGTTCAGTACAGAGATGCCCCAGGTCTGCGGAAGTTAAACATGAGACGGTCACAAGACTACACAGCTGGGTTCTCTCAAGTTCCCTGTTCCCTTCGCCCCCGCCCTTCATCTGCCTCTTCTCACTCTTCCTTCTTCCGGAGCGGGACTCGCTTCCCTCCCATTTCTCCCATGGTCTTCGCTTTTTACCTCTCCTCCACCCTGGGTTGGGTACAGAATTCGCATCTGGATCTGAGCTTGGAGCCGGACACAGGGCTGGGAGCCGTTGGTCCACATGTAGTCTCCAACAGCCTCCTTGGCACTCGGGCTCGGAGAGGGTGGAGGTGGTGGTCCTGGGTGAGGGGAGCTGGTCGAGCGTCCTGGGTTGATGGTAGTGCCGTTGCCTGTTGTTGGCTGAACTGTGATGTTTCTGTGACTGGTGGTAGTAGGATTGTGAGTGGTTGTCCTGGGTTCTTGGCTAGTAGTGCCTATGGTGGTAGTTCTGTGACTCTTGGTAGTACCGTGGCTCCCAGTAGTAGTGTGGCTCTTGGTAGTACTGTGGCTCCCAGTAGTAGTGTGGCTCTTGGTAGTACCGTGGCTCCCAGTAGTAGTGTGGCTCTTGGTAGTACTGTGGCTGGTTGTTCCAAGGCATGCTGGACTTTCTGTAGCAGGTGTCATTGTGAATGATGGCAACAGAGTGGCTGATTTCTTACCAGGACAGTCATCTGTCTCCTGGGCTTTTCAGCGGAGAAAGAAAACTGGTGAACTTTAGGGAGAATCAGGCCCCTCACTCCCACTCCCACCCCCACCCCTTTCTCCTTACCTGTTAGTAACCTTAGAAAGGCCAAGAAAAGCACAGTTAACTTCATGGCAGAACAGTCTGAACCTGAGTGGTTAAGTACTGTGCTATCGCTCCAGCCCTGAGTGGTAAGTACTGCTGATTAAATCAATCCTCTCTCCCTGCCTGCTTTTGGAGAAGGAGGAAACGAAAGTCTTCTTGACTTCCTATAATTAGACAGTCCCAGCCCCCAACTTGACTCAGACGCATCATTTCTTGCCACCAATCTCTTAGTAATCCTGTATTTGTCACTAAAGATGTTGACCCTGGAGCCAGAGAAATAGTACAGGGAAATAAATAGACGTGTGGCCCATTCCATCTCCAGTTCCACACATATCAATGTCAGTAGTGACATCTGAGCATAACTAGAAGCTCCAAGCATCACCAGGTGTGGCCCAAATCCCCGAGACAAAAAATCAGGGGCCAATAGTACAGCAGGTAGGGCACTTACCCTGCATGCAGCTGACCAGGTTCTACCCCCAGCATCCCACATAGTCCCCCAAGCAGCCAGGAATAATTCCTGAGCATCACCAGGTGAGGCCCCCAAACAAGATTGACACTGGCTTCACAGTGAGAATTCTCAAGGTCAATAATGATCAGGGCCTAGAGAGACCACAGCAGCTAAGGTGTTTGATTTGCATGCAGCTAATCCAGGTTCAATTCCTGCCACCCATATGGCCTCTGAGCACTGTCAGGAGTCATACCTGAGAACAGAGCCAGGAATAATCACCAGAACCTGAATCACCCCCAAAACCAAACAAAAAATACTGGGCCAGAGATAGTAAAGGGATTAATTAGGGTTAAGGCAACACTATCAGGAATAACCCCAGAAAGAAAGCATAACACTGCAGGGCGTGACCCCAAAATTTGCAATGATTGTTACATGGGGCTAAGATAGTTCAGTGGCCCAGCACTTTGCAAACTGGAGGCCCAGTTTGATCCCAGGCACTGCCAGGAGTGAACTCACAGCCTATGCAGCTCCTGAGCACAGTAAGATGTATTCTCCCTCCCCCCAGCCCCCTACCCTTTTGAGGCAGCTGGTCCTTGGGAACCTTTGCTAGAAATTTTGCTCCGAAGTTGGAGTATGATGATGTGACTGTAGACCATTGAAAGGGATCGAGAAAACTAGGGAAATGCCAATAGAACATTCTTGCCTGCTCTGACCATCACTTCCTGAGTCATGAGGGTAACTTATGATGGTGCTTGCAACAAGCCCTTTCAGAAGTGTTGTGCAACCTCCTATTTCCCAGTTAACTTCTTGGGGGGGAAAGGTCACCCTATCAGGATATACTTCTAACTGCACTCAAGAGGTCACTCTTGGTGGGGCTTGGGGGACCATATGGGTACTGGGGATCAAACTAGGATTGACCATGTACCAGCAAAGAACCGTATCCCATGCACTACTGCTCCACCCTTTTTAGGTGGCAGCATGCAGCGATTACTAGCGGACTAGGGAACAAAGATTTGTCCAGTGGCAAGTGGGAGAGGGGAGGAAAGAAATGAAAAGCCCAAACAGGCAGTTTCCAAGTCATTTTATTTAGAATTTTGTGTTTGTTTCCTGGATCAATAAATACTATACAAAACAATGTAAAAATGGCTACCATTTTCTCTCCCCTGCTCCCCCCACACCTGAGGACAATCCTCTGGGCCACCTAACTCTGGGTTCTCCTTTCAGATTTGGTCCAGCAAATGAGGTTGAGTCGATTATAGCCCCTTGTTCATTTCAGAGGAATTTGGCTAGGGTGGGGAGCCTCTGGGGGGTTGGAGGTTGACTAGGTTAGGGACACGTATTAGTGTTTTTGGAGGAGACGGCGCCTGGGGCAAGAGCCTACCCCAAAGAAAAGGGTTTCTAAAATGTTCACGGTTCCTTCTTTTGCCTCAAAAAGTGACATTTATTCAAAGGAAAAAAAAAAAACAAAAAACAAAAACAAAAAACAAAACAAAAAAAAGACAAGATGTCCATCCCTTGGCTCCCTCCCCTCCCCCCTCGTGCTCTTCTCAGGCCCTCCCAAGGACAGAGCCCTGGCTAGAGCTCGGAGCAGGACAGCCCTCTCAGATGAGGTCAGCAACATTGAGAGGCATCTCCTCAATGGAGGTATTGTAGAAGGTCTCGATATCTCGAAGAGTTCTCTTGTCTTCCTCTGTCACCATGTTGATAGCCACACCCTTACGTCCAAAACGTCCACCACGACCAATTCTGGAAAACAAGAATAGGAAATGGGGTAAACCATAGGCCAGATCCTACAGAGGTTAAGATGCTTGCTTTGCATGCACCTGATCCAGGTTTGGTTTCCTGCGACAAATAAGTATGGTGGTATCTTCCACTCCACCCAAACAGGAATGGGAAGAGAAGCTTTGGCCTAGGACTATTTGGGCCCAATTATCAGGTAAGTAGATGAGATCTCACTCACCTGTGAATATAGTTTTCCCTGTTGGTGGGAAGGTCATAGTTGATGACTAAAGAAACCTGTTGTACATCAATGCCTCTGGCCTGTGGTGGAAGAGAAGACAACGTCAGTATGTTAAAAGGATAACCTATCTAACAAGGGACTTCCATAGGCATGTAGGCAGCCAAAGGAAGGCAGAGGAAATAAACATCCCCTCTCCCACAAAGACCTGAGGCTTGCCAGATTTTCTTCCAAGTTGCTACGTTCCTAAGGAGGAGCACAAACAAGCCCCTAGGAGAGGGAATCACCTTGGATCCCTCCCTTAAATTTCTTCCCACTTCCCCTCTACTCACCAGCAGGTCAGTGGTAATCAATACTCTACTGGAACCAGAGCGGAATTCCCTCATGATTACATCTCGTTCTTTTTGGTCCATATCTCCATGCTAAAAAAGGAAACAAAGATTCAGTTAAAAGCTGGGTAGGGCAGTTAAGTTGGTGTTAAGCTGAGCTCTATCCCTGACTCTGGGAATCAGAGAGTGGGGAAAACTCACCATGGCAGACACAGTGAAATCTCGGGCATGCATCTTCTCAGTGAGCCAATCAACCTTCCTTCGGGTGTTGATGAAGATGACTGCTTGGGTGATGGTCAAGGTTTCATATAAGTCACAAAGTGTGTCCAGCTTCCACTCCTGGATGTGGGGTTGGGAGAGAAAAAAAAAATCAATTGGACTATATCCAAAAATTAATGATCTAGGCCCGCCTCCTGCACTGGGCCCCACCTCTCGCTCCACATTGATGTAGAATTGGCGGATACCCTCCAAAGTCAACTCTTCTTTCTTGACCAGAATTCGAATAGGGTCCCTCATGAACTTCTTGGTCACCTCAAGAACATCAGAAGGCATTGTAGCAGACAGCAAAACCACCTTAAGAGAAAAATCATGGTGAGAGATATTCCCTGGTATCGATTTTTCCCACATCAAAAGGCATAATACATGGATCTGGGGTAAAATCCCACCAAATCCTCACAACCAGTGGGGCTGAAGTTGTACACACTTGACTGATGCGTACTATGGGAACCACTGTAGGTGGGCACAACGGATCAAATCTGTAGCCACATGCATCTTAAGTCAGTCAGGTGCTTTTGCTAGAGTCCCACAAGTCCAGATTTTGGGGTCCCCATAAACGTGGTCACCCCACTATATAGACCATAATTCACTGTAGGGATCATCAAAATAGCTTTCTAACCTGGGTGTTGCTATTGAGCTTTTGAAATATATCGTAAATCTGATCCTTGAATCCTCGACTTAACATTTCATCAGCTTCATCCAGCACAAACATCTTGATGTATTTGGGAGCTATGGGGAAAAAAAGTTAGTGATCAGAGAAATGTAGAAATGCACTCAACAAGATAGGAACACCAAGTTGTCTGCTCTCAGAATACAAAGATTGATCCTCTGCCTGAGGATCCCTTGCCAGGTCAGACACTAGCCCTAGGAAGTAGAACACTACCCGGACAGAGACCTCAGGGAATTCAGGCTCAGATGACACGCATGGGATTCATCACAGAGCAAGATAACTAGCATCATCGTGATTGTGTGGTCAAACGGAATGACTGGTAAAGCACAGAAGAGGGAGAAGACCCAGAAGATGAGAAAATTGAGGTACTCACACAGGTATCTCCGGTTAAGCATGTCAAACACACGGCCTGGGGTACCCACAATGATATGGGGAGCTTCCATCTGCAGCTTCTGCACCTCAGCACGCACGTTGGTACCCCCAATGCAGGCGTGGCAGGAGGCACCCATGTAATCTCCTAATGCCATGACCACCTTTTGTATCTGAATCCAGAGGAAAATAAATGCTCTTCTATCATCTCGTACTGTTTCAAATCCATTTCTTATGCTATGCACTCTTTGATATACACTTTACAACTCTGATAACCACCGTTATCCTAGTGGTGATGGCCACCAAACCAGGGCAACTCACATATGCAAGGAGAGTTCCCATCATAGCCCCCGCTACATTAAAAAAAAAAATCACCAAGAATCACTTTTAGCGATTTTAGAGAACCAGGTCAAGTAACCAAGCTATTTTTATAGATTATACTTCCTGCTAAGTGGCAGACTTAAGACTGGAATGCAGTTAAGACTCCTGCTCTTCGCACTAACTGCACAATGACAGCATCTGAAATATTTTAATAAACGTGTACTTAACTTTCCCCAAGCTATGCATGACCATTTATTTGGTATCCTAACAACCAGGTTCATGTAGATGACACAAGCCTATCCTGTGCTTGCCACAAGACCTTTCCTAGGTAGAATGCGTACTTTATTTATAAAGAGACCACCTTCACAAAACATTTAAAAAGTACGCCCACTGAGGCATACTCTACTTATGAAACATCTGATTTTACCTTTTCTCCTTTAAGAACAATGAAGAAACAAAAAATACTTCAGTGTTAGAAATTTATGTGCCCCAAGCATGAAACAGCTCTGGCCACCAACACAGGCATCAAGCTAGGATGAACAAAGGACAGCTGCTTTGCCCCTGACAGATATAAGAGCAACACCACCAATGAGATGTCTCTTTGCCCAATGTCAGGGGTTTAGGTATCTACTGTTCATTAAAAAACTTACAAAAGTTGTTCAAGCCACCCAGCATTCTATCTGACTCAAGTTGGAAATGGGTGGTGGAAATTATGTACTCTGTTGGCGAAAGACGACTTGTGATAATAGTTAA